TGGGTGTCTTGCACGGATTAATTTTATTTCCATTATTTCTTATGGGGAAAATTCATTCGCATAGCGAACATTTCGCATAACAGCCAGCCCTCTTGCACGGATTAAGTTCGCTATGCGGGGGTCCACTGTATAAGCAAAATAAGATAAGAATAATGAAAAATCAAGGCTCACCACTAACAACTACAGTGTAAACAATACAAGTGAGCACAGGCTATGCACATTGCCATCTGTGACCAACCTCATAGTTTAGTCTAGACTAAAAGAGGTGCTGGATCATCCATTGCTGGTAAATCAGTGTTGTACCTGTATTTGGTATCCAAAGTAAATTTTGTGTACATGCAAAATTCAGGCATACCTACTGGTTGATGATTCTGGAATCATTCCCACAGCTAATCAGGTCACCAGCCAGGCCTGGCTGATGACCTGATTAGCCAGATTGTTGGTGCTAGCAGCACACAGTACACATAAGCATGGCCCAGCTAATCAGGAACTAACTTGTCTTTAAATTTTATGAATGTTTGGATAACAGATAATAGGAATCTGGTGAAAGGTAAAGAACACTGCAAATAATAATTAAAAAATTGCTACCAATAAGTTACACTACTCAATTTCGAGAGCTTAATTTTGAAATAACGGTATATAAAAGCATCTAAAGTCATGTCAGTGCAAAGAGGCATTCTTATATATTATTTATCAAAAAATTATGCCACTTTTTTTTACAACACATCAGTCATCTCCCACTGAGGCAGGGTGACCCAAAAAAGAAAGAAAATCCTCAAAAAGAAAATACAGTGGACCCTCGACTAATACTATTAATCCATTCCTGAGAGCTCATCGTTAGTCAAAATTATCGTTAGTCAAGTTAGTTTTCCCCATAAGAAATAATGGAAATCAAATTAATCCGTGTAGGACACCCCAAAGTATGAAAAAAAAATTGTTTTTACCACATGAAATATTAATTTTAATACACACAAACTGAAGAAGACATGCACAGTTACATGACACTTACCTTTATTGAAGATCAGGTGATGATTGATGGGATGGGAGGAGGGGAGAGTGTTGATGGTCTTAGTATTTAAAAAGGGGGAATCCCCTTCCATTAGGACTTGAGGTGGCAAGTCCTTTTCCCTGGGGTTTCTTCCCTTCCCTTTAAATCTCTCAAACCAACATTGCTGGCCTTAAATTCACTCACATCACCACAGTTGCTGGTATTTTTTTAATTAAATCGTCATGCAACTTCCTAGCCTTTTCACATATGATCGCTTGAGAGATGCTAAACTCCTGCTATCTGTTTTTCGTTTATTCCACACCAAAAACAGTCTAGCAACATCTTCGAGTACTTGCGAAACTCAGTTTCGAAAACATAGTTTGCACCTTTGGGCAAGAACACTTCCTTGATTGCCGTTTTCTTGCCCACAATATAGCGATGGTTGATTGGGTTTTGTGTACAACCTGGCCCCGCTCGGAGACACGCACTTCACTTTCATACTTTGCAATGATCTCTTACTTCATATCCATAGTAATTCTCACCCTTTTTGCTGTAGGGGTGGCACTAGAAGCTTTCTTGGGGCCCATGGTGACTTATTTTGCAGGTGCAATCACTGAAAAGGCTGTGATAATATGAAATGTTCCGATTGTATGCTTGGAAGCGACCGCGGTGGCTGGCTGGCTGGCTTGTAAACACTGGCCAGAAGTGGACGCATCTCAGACGGAACGAATAGTGTTGGTCGAGTTTTTTAGCGCTAGTCGAGGCAAAATTTTTGCGTTAAAATGTATCGCTAGTCGGATTTATCGTTAATCGATGCCATCGTTGGTCAAGGGTCCACTGTACTTTCATGATCATTCAACACTTTCACCTCACTCATACGTAATCACTATCTTTGCAGAGGCGCTCAGATATGACAGTTCAGAAGTCCCTCCAAATTGCCAATATCCCAAACTCCTCCTTTAACCCTTAAAGTGTCCAAACGTAGATCTGTTTGTGCGCGTAGTGCTCCGACCTTGATTTTCTCCCTAAGAAAGCATGTAAAAAAATGTAATCTACGTTTGGAGCGCTACGCGAGCAAACGTAGATCTACCTTTGGACAGTTTAAGGGTTAAGTGCAGGCACTGTACTTCCCATTTCCAGGCCTCAAGTCCAGCTAACCAGTTTCCCTGAATCCCTTCACAAAATATTACCCTGCTCACACTCCAACAGCTTGTCAGGTCCCAAAACCATTCATCTCCATTCACTCCTATCTAACACGCTCACGCATGCTTGCTGGAAATCCAAGCCTTCACCCACAAAACCTCCTTTACCCCCTCCCTCCAACCTTTTTGAGGACAATATAAATATAAATTTTAAACACAGATGGCCACTGACTAACATGGCAGGCATGTTCTTGAAAACTGTGTGTAAATAAGAAATCATGTAAAATGAACTGTAAACATGAAAAAATAGGGTTACATACAAATAGGGTTACATATTTTTTAGGTCTCTTACTGCATAAAAAAAATTAAAATGTAACTGTAGCTGAATGCAGTGATGAGTTATATTTAATACAATACTTAAAACTACAAAGCTCACATAAATATTATTTCTTACCTGAAATTCAGGTTGCTGGTGAATGTTTGAAAGGAGCGGAGTGAAATGGGGTGGACGTACTGGGATGAGGTGGAAGGCTGAGGTTCTTGCACTAATGTCAATGTAGTGTTATTAGGTGATGGTTGTACTAAAGAATGGAGGTATTATGCAATGCATTCTTAGTCTGTTTTACCCTGCAGTACTTTATACAGCTGATGATAAGGAATCATTAGCTGTTCCAGACCCACTTCAGAACAGTGCTTCTAGATGTCAGGGACCTCTTCAGTAAATAAAAAAAGTACAGTGGACCCCCGCATACCGTTGGCATCACATACCGTTTATTCCGCATACCGCTCACTTTAATCGCAAAAATTTTGCCTCGCATACCGCTCAAAAACCCACTCACCGCTGTTCGTCCGAGACGCGTCCAATGTGCGCCTTAGCCAGCCTCACATGTTCCGCCAGTGGCATTGTTTACCAGCCAGCCTCCGCGGTAGTATCCAAGCATACAATCGTAACATTTCGTATTATTACAGTGTTTTTGGTGATTTTATCTGGAAAATAAGTGACCATGGGCCCCAAGAAAGCTTCTAGTGCCAACCCTACAGCAATAAGGGTGAGAATTACTATAGAGATGAAGAAAAAGATCATTGATAAGTATGAAAGTGGAGTGCGTGTCTCCGAGCTGGCCAGGTTGTATAATGAACCCCAATCAACCATCACTACTATTGGTGGTACAGCTGCTGCTGCTGCTGCACTGTCAGCTGCTGCTGCTGCTGTAGCATCGTCTGCTGCTGCTGTAGCATCGTCTGTTGCTGCTGTAGCATCGTCTGCTGCTGCTGCTGCTGTAGCATCGTCTGCTGCTGCTGTAGCATCGTCTGCTGCTGCTGTAGCATCGTCTGCTGCTGCTGTAGCATCGTCTGCTGCTGTTGTAGCATCGTCTGCTGCTGCTGCTGTAGCATCATCTGCTGCTGCTGTAGCATCGTCTGCTGCTGTTGTAGCATCGTCTGCTGCTGCTGTAGCACTGTTGTTGGTGTGGCTTATTGAGAATATACCAAGAAACAATTAACCCCAGAGGATTTGCCACCCAGGATAACCCAAAAAAGTCAGTGTCATCGAAGACTGTCTAACTTATTTCCATTGGGGTCCTTAATCTTGTCTCCCAGGATGCAACCCACACAAGTCGACTAACACCCAGGTGAACAGGGAAAAATGCCTGGAACTAGTGCTCATATTGGTGAATTTAAAGCCAGCAAAGGTTGGTTTGAGAGATTTAAGAATCGTAGTGACATACAGTGTGATAAGGCCTGTTCTGGAAGAAAATGCCAAACAGGACCTAGAGTACTCAGGAGGAAAAGGCACTCCCAGGACACAGTGTCTCATCAGTCATTGCTGCATCTTCAATAAAGGTGTCATTTATTCTTCATTTAGTAGACTAGTACATGCACAATATATACTGTGCATGTACTACTCTACTATTGTGCATGTATCCTTCTCTTTGTGTGTAGGAAAATGTATATTTCATGTGGTAAAAAAATTTTTTTCATACTTTTGGGTGTCTTGCATGGATTAATTTGATTTCCATTATTTCTTATGGGGAAAATTCATTCGCATACCGATTATTTCGCATACCAATGAGCCCTCTTGCACGGATTAAAATCGGTATGCGGGGGTCCACTGTATGTGCTAGTTAAGTAATATAACACTGCACATGTAACTTGCAATATTAACCATTTTTTCTGCAGGCTCTTCTTCCTCATCTTCTACTGTCATCCACTTCCCTTGTATCTGGACATGGAGCTCTTCCAACATTCCTCCAGACTTCTTTCTTCCTCATCATTTTTTAAGAACTCATTCACATCTTCCTGTATATCTTTGAAGTCCTCACCTTCTAATCACCTTGCCACCTGAACAATTTCCTGGACCTTTCAACTGAGGGAAAGCCTGTGAAAGTATTCACCACACTAGGCCATAATTTTCCCCAGCCTGCACTTTATGTTGATCAGGGCACTTCATTCCATGCACTTCTGGCATGGATGAAGGCATCAGCATTGTTAAACTTAAGACATAAGTCTGGCATCCATTGCTCTAACGATGTTTATGTATCACTTTTTGAGTCCTCATTTAAATGTCTTAATAACTCCTCGCTCCAGTCGCTGTATTAGAGATGTTGCGTTTAGTGATAAAAACAACTTTTACAAGTCACTGCACATCCTCCAAGAGTTCTGGTCAAGTACGGGAATTGTCAAGAATAAAAAGAAACTTGAATGCAAGGTTTTTATTGTGCAGGTAAAACATGATTTCTACAATAAAATTATGCTTAAACCAGTCAACAAATAATTCCTCTAATCCATAATGACTGGTTCGACCTCCAAATAACTGACTGTACCTTTCAAAGCAAGGTCTTGCACTTAAAAATTGAGAGATGCATTATTGCACAGTAGCAAGCTGAAGGAATTCTTTGCAGCCTTGAATCCAATGTACTTTTTTTCTTACTTGCCGACATAAATTCTTGATGGCACCCTCCTCCAATAGACTTTTCACACCAGCATAAAACACTTGTTGTGGCTCATAGCCACCCTCTGAAATTATTTCCTGTAATTCAGTAGGGAAATTTCCTGCACCCATATGGTTAGTAGAAGCCCTTTAACTAGAAAATTTAACAAAGGTACAACGCTGACTTTCCTGGCAAAGGATGGTTTGACACTTCTTTTAGCCCAGACAAAACTGCGAGACTAGTTTGTTGCCAAACTATAGTGGAACCTCAGTACTCTAACAGCTCCATATTGGAACAATTTTGTATTCAAATGCTTTGTTCAGTGTACAAATCGCTCGGCAGTTGATTATTTGCTCAGCACTCGACCAAACAAACACAACCTGCCAGAACTTCGCTGTAAACTATTTCGAGTTTCTTCACATTTTTTGGCGTTTTTCTATATTACAGTGGACCCCCGCATAACAATCACCTCCGAATGCGACCAATTATGTAAGTGTATTTATGTAAGTGCGTTTGTACGTGTATGTTTGGGGGTCTGAAATGGACTAATCTACTTCACAATATTCCTTATGGGAACAAATTCGGTCAGTACTGGCACCTGAACATACTTCTGGAGTGAAAAAATATCGTTAACCGGGGGTCCACTGTATTTGTATAAGTCACTATGGGGCCTAAGAGGGTTAGTGATAACAGCCAACCAAAAAGAAAATTGGGAGAAAAATCTGTTGGGTACTCAAACAGATCGGCACTCAAACAGCCTTCTAGAATGAATTAAGTTCGAGTGTCGAGGTTCCACTGTAGTTTACTGGGTGGTCACAAATGCATAAACAATCTACCAAATGCATCTCAACTACTCAAACCCATACTATTTGCAGATGACACTACGTAAGTCTTCTCTCACCCAAGCCCAGTCATACTAGCCAATACTGTAAATACTGAATTACAGAAAATATCTACCTGGATGATGATTAACAAACTTACTCTCAATATTGACAAAACCTACTTCATTCAGTTTGGGAACAGAACTACAATGTCCCACTTAACATAATGATAAATGGTTCACCTATCACAAAGCTCACAGAGGGTAAATTCTTAGGAATCCACCTTGATAAAAGACTCAAATTCCAAACACATGTACAACAAATTTCCAAAATCTCCAAGACTGTAGGCATGCTATCGAAGATATGGTACTATGTTCCACAATCAGCTCTCCTTGCCCTATATCTCCCATTCATTTACCCCTATCTCACCTATGGAATCTGTGTCTGGGGCTCAACAACAATAAATCATCTCAGACCATTAATTACCCAACAAAAGGCTGCAGTCAGAATGACAAATTCCCCCTCCAATATTCAAAACTCTCAACTTACTCACTGTACAAAACATCCATACTTATTATTGTGCCTACTACATACACAGAACACTAAATTCAGATATAAACCCTCCCCTCAAACTTCTTACCAACCTCAACAGGACACATGACCATAACACAAGGCACAGATCACGCTTTGATGTTCCCCGTGTCCATCTCACACCATGTAAAAACTCAATGCACATAAAAGGCCCAAAATTTTGGAATTCATTACCTGTGAATACAAAAGAAACACTGTTTATCAATTCAAGACGTTTTAAAAAACATCTGCTCACCCAAAACTAAATAAATATTGAATAACTTTATTTCATAAATGTATAACCCGTGACCCCATCAACCTATGTTTTTATTTGTAATGCTACAAATTTGTACAACTATAATGTATCATAACTGAAATGTTAAAATTTCATTGTTAAAAATACTCAATTGTACTTCATACTGTAAATTGTTTACTGTAATTTTTACCACTGAATCTATCATTGCTTAGTTAATCTTAAGTTAATTTTAAGCCTGACCATAATGTTCTGCATACAAGGGGCTTTTGGCATGTATACCCAACTACTATAATTTCTTGTACAACTATGTATCGTGTCCAAATAAAAAATTAGTAGTAGTAGTAGTATTAGTATTAGTAGTAGTAGTATTATTAGTAGTAGTAGTATTAGTATTAGTAGTAGTAGTATTAGTAGTAGTAGTATTAGTAGTAGTAGTAGTAGTATAGTAGTAGTATGTATAGTATAGTATATAGTAGTAGTATAGTAGTAGTTAGTTTTAGTAGTAGTAGTAGTAGTAAATAGTAGTATAGTAGTAGTAGTATTAGTAGTAGTAGTTAGTTAGTAGTAGTATTAGTAGTAGTAATTTAGTGTAGTATTAAGTATAGTATAGTATATATGTAGTATAGTATTTGTAGTATAGTATTAGTAGTAGTATAGTAGTATATATTAGTAGTAGTATTAGTAATAGTATGTAGTATTAGTAATAGTAGTAGTTATTAGTAATAGTTAGTAGTAATATAGTATAGATAGTATTAGTAATGTAGTATAGTAGTATAGTATTAGTAATAGTAGTAGTATTAGTAATAGTAATAGTATTAGTAATAGTAGTAGTATTAGTAATAGTAGTAGTATTAGTAATAGTAATAGTATTAGTAATAGTATTAGTATTAGTAATAGTAGTATGAGTAAGTAATAGTAGTATTAGTAATAGTAGTATTAGTAATAGTATTAGTAATAGTATTAGTAGTATTAGTAATAGTAGTAGTATTAGTAATAGTATTATTAGTAGTAGTAGTAGTAGTAATTAGTAATAGTAGTAGTAGTAATAGTATTAGTAGTATTAGTAATAGTATTAGTAGTAGTATTAGTAATAGTATTAGTAGTAGTAGTAAAGTAAAGTATAATAGTATATAGTAGTAGTAGTAATATAGTAATTAGTAGTAGTAGTAATAGTAGTAGTATAATAGTAAAGTAGTAGTAATAGTAGTATAGTAATATAGTAGTAAATAGTAGTAAGTGTAGTAGTAATATTAGTATAGTAAATAGTATAAATAGTAGTAATAGTTAGTAGTAATAGTATATAGAGTAGTAATAGTAGTAGTATGTAATAGTAGTATAGTAATAGTTAGTAATAGTAATAGTAAATAGTAATAGTAGTAATAGTAGTAGAGTATAATAGTAAATATATATAGTATAGTAGTAATAGTAGTATTAGTAGTAGTATTAGTAATAGTGTAGTATGTAATAGTATTAATAGTAGTAGTAGTAATAGTATAGTAGTAGTAGTAATAGTAGTAATAGTAAATATAGTAAAGTAGTAATAGTAGTAAGTAGTATAATAGTAATAGTAGTAAAGTAGTAGTAATAGCAGTAGTAATAGTATAGTAATAGTAATAGTAGAATAGTAGTAGTAGTAATAGTAGTATATAGTAGTAGTAATTAAGTAAATAGTTGTAGTATAGTAGTAATATAGTAGTATAATAGTAGTAGTATATAGTAGAATAGTATAGTAATTGAGTATAGTAATAGTAAAGTAGTAGTAATAGTATATAGTAATAGTAATATGTAGTAATAGTAGTAGTAGTAATAGTAATAGTAGTAATAGTAGTTAGTAAAGCAGAGTAATAGTAGTAGTTAGTAATAATAGTAGTAGTAATATAGTAGAATGTGTAATAGAAGTAGTAATAGTAGAAAGTAATAGAGTATGTAGTTAGTAATAAAGTAATATAGTATAATAATAGTAATAATAGTAATTTAAGTTATGTAATATAGTATATATAGTAATTAGTAGATTATATAGTATATAGTAGTAATATTTAGTCAGTATAATAGATAATAGACATATATAGTAAATAGTAGTAGTATAAAGTGATAGTAATAGATGATAGTAATAGAGATATAGTGATAGCAGTAAAGTTCAGTAATAGTACAATCATAGTGTAATAGTAGTCCATAAATATAGTAGTCAAATAATCCAGTGCAGTGTAAACCAGTTTTGAGAAAAGCTGAGTAATATGAAAGAATGTAGTTTTGTATAGTAGATTCAGTGTAGCCAGTAATAATAAAAACTGAGCATAGTGCGTAATGACAAAAAAAAAACTTTGACCATGTTTTTGGATTAAAACAGCGACTTTGCACTGTATTATCGTATGGTATTTATTGTTGCATTCTAGTTTTCTTGGTCTCATTTTATAGAATGGGAGACATATTACAGAAATTGAGATGATTTTGACTGGTTTTACAATGAAAAGTACACCTTGAAATTGAACTAAAGTAGCAGAAATGTTCGATTTTTACCAAAGTTCAAAAGCAAACAAATCATGCCAAGCGTCCAATACACATCAACTGGTGAGTCTAATATTACTTCACAAGTGCGCTGATATTATTTATACCATTTCTACACTAATGCAGTAGTCTGCATAACAGTAAATCTTATTTTCTTAAGAATAAAAATTCAAAGTGGAAAGCCAAAGAAATATAAGAGGGGCTTGGGGATGTGACTAACGAACAGAGAACTTGTTATTTTAGTGCCAGGAATGTCTTTCTTGTTTATTCTGGACCCTATTTGGAAATTGGCATTTTTTTAAATGTGTGAAATGGGCAAAATTGCTAAATTCTGACCACTTTATTCGATAGTTGAAATCGGTAAATGGCTGGTTTCTTGTACTCATTCGATAGAAAAAAATGGAGTTCTAACGAAATAGTTATGATTTTTGTCGACTAGTACACTGGAAGTGGCCGAAAATAGGGCTCAAAATAGGCAAAATTGCCGATGCGTAAACATCGTCGAGACCGCTAACTTCGTGAGAGCATAATTCCGTAAGTTTTCCATCAAATTTCATACTTTTGGTGTCATTATGATCGGGAAAAGATTCTCTATCTTTTCATAAGAAAATTTTTTTGTTTTGTTTTGAAATTTGGCCGACCCTGCGAACAAGTCTCTGAGAGGACCTGTCGATCCCCAAAGAGTTAAAACTTATCCAAGACCAACTTTGACTCATAATTCTTGTTTACTGTCTAAAAAGATAAACATTTCTATTTTTTTATACATTTGTAACTATCTTGCAATCCTCCATTAGTTAACTCGTATATTTTTTTTACTCTCTAGTGTGTGCAGTCTATAATAGTTAGTGTAATACAAACCAAAGTTAAGCACTACTGTTTTGAAACCCCCCTTGTTTGTTTACTGTCTACCATTAGTGCAAACACTGTTAGGTG